TTTATCCGCAAATCAGAAATCACCTAATAGTTATGACCCCTACTGCCCCGGAAATCCTAATTGGGGATTTTACTGTCTGTTTCATGCCTCTTAATAGTTATCTGCTCGGCAATTATGCTATTTCCCTACATTATTCTCATTATAGTTTCTATTTAATTGAGGAAATTCTTCTTCATAATTATTGGGAAAACGAGTTACTTTTTCACCCTAACTTTCACCCTAATTTTTCCGCTTTTCTTAACCAAAAAAAACCAAATACTTATCTAATTACTAGTTTTAATAATATTAAGTGGCAAACTAATAATTCACTTTTTTTGACTACTAACAATTTTTTTTCTCCTGAGCAGGTGGCGTTCTGAATTCTTTACGAATTCGATTGATTACATATCCTCGAATTATTGGAAATGGCCCAGCAGCACGGAAAGAAAGTCCGTATATGGAACGAAAAATTCCTTTTATTAGTAAGACAAATATTAGCCAGAAGTTTGCTAGGAAAAGTAATAGACAATGAAGGGGAAATTATTTTGTTAGTCGTTGATTACAACGACGCGGAAACTAGAATTAGTGATTGCCTAAAAAAATTTTCTCCTGCCCAAAAGTCTAATTTCCATTTTCTCCTAGGTATCCCCCCAGTAGTTGGAAGTGAGGAAAAACTAGCCCGGATAGTCGATTTTCTGCATACGCAAAGTTCCGAAATAACTAATTTGAGTAAAAAAGAAAGTTTTGTTTTTGGTACAAGTTTAGCCGATTGAAAACTTGTGCTCCAATTATTACAACCCCAAGGCATTATCTTACTCCAAAACAGTTACAAAAGTGCTAAACACTTAACCTGTTTGCCAAACCGGATTTTCCGTTTGCCTAATCAGTGTTTTTACCAGTTCCCCAACGCGAAATTTGCTCGTTTGCGGGTAAAAAGGTCTTTGGCTACTCTGGAAGAAATATTAGTTCGTCAAAGAAAAGGTTTGCAAGAAGACGGCTTATTAATTATTTTCTTCCTGGCTAGTTGGCAAGAAGAAAAACTAGAACTAAAAAAATTACGCTTAGAATTAATCGGAATTAGTTCCCAGGTCAATCTTCCCAAGTTAGAAAACAAAATAAAAACTTGGTGAGACACGAAATTAGTGGTCGGGCTGCAAAAAAATGAGCCTGTCAAAATAATTAAAGAAGCCGTTAAAAAACGTTGTAGCGAGTTAGCAAAGAGTTATTTGAGTAGTGAGCACGATATAGACCTTGAAGAGTTGCCGGTTTTGGTGTTTTTAAGGTAATTAATTTCGCTTTTTTTCCTAACATTTTCTCTTGTTTACGAAAACTCAACCTTTTTTTAAAATGGTAACAATTAGCATCAATAACATTGCTGTTGCTCGAATAATGAAGAAAGTTTTGAAGGCAATTTCATTTTTTTTGTCGAAAAATAGCAATACGTAATTAAGTAACTAGTGGAAAGTGACGAAAGCATTAAGAGCAATAAAATTAGTCATTGTTTATTTTCAATGATAGTCTTGGTATTCTCTAATTTCGGTTAATTTAGTTAAAAAGAATAGAAAAAGGATATTTATTTTGCAGAGGGGGCAATAAAAAATCAAATGTATTTTTTATAGTGTAATATTTGTGTAATAGCCTAATTATTTATTTTAAAGCATTTTAAAATCCTATTGGTTCACAATACTCATTAACTTTTTCCGTAGCCCCAATTACTCCTCCGCCCAAGCAAAGGTTTTCAGAATAAAAAACGGCATACTGGCCGGGAGTAATGGCTCGCTGTTTTTCGTTAAACTCAACCCTTAACTCGTGGCAACTTCCTAACGGAAAAAGTTGCACGAGAACTTCGGGTTGTCGATAACGAAACTTGGCGGTTATTTTTGACCCGCCAGTATATTTACCTAACTCTTGCTCCGGGACTAACCAATTAACCTTTTTCACTATACACCAACCCGAATAAAGTCACTGGTTATTCCAGCCTCTCGCCACATAAATCACGTTCTTCTTCCGGTCTTTGGCAACTACATAATGAGGCTCTTTTTGTCCTGACAAGCCTAAATTTTTGCGTTGCCCGAGCGTAAAATAAGCAATTCCGGAATGTCGGCCAATTTTTTCTCGGCTCACAATATTTATTATTTTCCCTTCTTGTTTGGGAAAATAGTTAGCCAGAAAATTAGCAAATTTCCGTTCGCCAATGAAACAAATGCCCGTCGAGCCTTTTTTTTTGGCATTAATTAACCCCAAATTTTCCGCCATTTGCCGCACTTGTTTTTTGGTTAAGTCTGCCAACGGAAAAAGCAACTCTGGCAAAATAGTTGCTGGTATTTGGCACAGAAAATAAGTTTGGTCTTTGTCTTGGTCTTGGGATTTACTCAAATAATAATTACCGTTTTTTTCGATAATTTTGGCATAATGACCGGTAGCCAAAAAATCAGTTGCCAAATTTCGCCGCCCATACTCCAAAAAATAACGAAACTTAATCGTGCTATTACACAAAACATCGGGATTAGGAGTAAGACTTTTTTTTAAACCGTGCAGAAATTCGGCAAAAACCCCTTCCCAGTATTCCTGAATAAAT